GAGCCAAACGAGCCCAAACAGGCCAATTGTGGATGAAGACGTAGTCAAGAAGAAAGACGTAGTAAAACAACAACATTTTTTTAATTTTCTGCTACTAGGTGCAAAAGGTGGCAACGAGTGGTCACATGATTATGGCCTACCAAGCTTTCTTGTTAGCATCAGGACCTGTGAGCCTCAAGCTGGGTCCCAGAGCAACTGTCGATCGTGGAGAGGTTCTTACGCTACGTGCCTATGCGTCCAAGGAAGATCGCTGAGAAGCTTTGTGGCAAAGATAAAGTTTTGGAAGTGGCGAAGGTGGGCAAGCAAGTCCGCCACTCCTTTGATGACACGAGCTCCGATCCGGTTGTGGTGAAACGATGAAACAAGGGGACCAGGGGTTGACATTTTCTTGGAAAGGCTTCTTTGAAGCTGGGGTTTTAGATGCAGCCAAGGCCAGCTTCAAAGCCAGCTTGCAGCGGTTTTGCTCTAACATTGCGAGTTGCCGCCCAGCACCCCACCTTTTGAACCAGAGTTGAGGGAAAGACATGCATTGCTCTGAGAAGATGTGCCTGACATGATGAAGTGTCACCAACATGTTCGGCTCCGATTGACTGTCCCCATACTTTGGACCGTTAGTGACGAATGGATTCCTAAGTGACAAAAGATAGTCCCTGCTCTACCCCCATGTAACAAGAAGCTACTAGGGGCTCCTGGCCTTACTACTAGGAGCAAGGACGCTACTAGTAGCTCCTGGCATTACTATATACTAGGAACAAGAAGCTATTAGAAACAAGAAATAAAATGACACTCTATCCTCCAGAGTTCATCTCTTTTTGTCAAACAGTCTGTGAAGGCAGGTCGAGGCTATGAATAATCTGACCTGCCGCAGGCCATGCTGGTCGACTATGTCGCCTGAGACTGAGCCCTTCCACGGTTGGGCTTAACGGGCGTCACGGCGTAGCTTTCGGGCTCATTGGTTGCCCCTCTAAAGCAGGCTAGGCGACGGAGACCAATGCTGAACCATGGCGTCTGAGATAGAAGATTTCAGTTGAAGGCTTGCTTTGGTGACTGAGCAAGTGTGGACAAGCTGCCTGGTGAGGTTTGGTCAGATGTCGGTTAAGCTTGAGGTATGCGAAGAGAGGCTTTTAGGTCCAAGTAGGTTCTCAGTGGAGGTTTCCGTGCCTATGAAAGCCAGCAGCCATAGCTTTTCAATTACTCGTAGGAACAGCAACAGCCTGTGGAGACAAAGATGCACTGTGCGTCTGAGGAAGTGCGGGGTTTGGATGCATGCCGCGAGGGTTCCACTCCCACCACAAAATGACCTAGCCTGGATGACAGCGGTTTGATCGAGATAGATGCGAAGAGGAATCAATAATGTGTTCGCAATGATGCATTCCAGAAGGGGGTGATCATTCTTTTGGTGCCAATGAACTTCACGGGCGTTCAGATCTTTGACCACCCCAGACATGGTCGCCTTCTGGGGGGTTGTATGGTTCTCGTGTGACCTGCCAGGACGAGAAACAAGGTGTGAGGATTGGACACTGCGGGAGTTTGTATTTGCAGTTTTTCTCAGGTGCATTTTGGCCCGAATGCCATTTCCTTTTAGTTTTGCTTTTTGTAATGGACTCTCAGGTGCCACTGTGACCCAGCTTCATGAGGATGAATTGGGCTGCATGGTGGAGAATGGAAAACTGTTGGGGATTTGAAGAAGCTCCTGGCCGGTCAGGTTGGATACTCAAGGCTTCAACAAAGACTTTTGAGTGAAGACATGGGCGAGCTTCAGGACATGCTTGTCAGACAACTGTATACCAAATGTATCCAAGTGTGCAGTTGGTAATCCTGCACTTCTGCGCTCTTGAGGAGATCGTTTGGGAGGCTCGACTCCTGGCGGTGTAAACAACTTCCAGTAACACACCATGGCACACTCTGCTGATAATTGACGGCTATATTGCTTCAACATCACCAGACAGTGTCTATCTTGCATATATATATATATATACATATATATATATATACTGGCATATATCATTCTATCTGAAGAGTTTATTCTGGCACTCTATTTGGCATTCTATCTCGCATACATTCTGACATTCTATCTGGCATATTTTCAGGAGTTCCATCTGGCCTTGTATTCTGGCATTCTATGTGGTAAATACTGTGGCCTTCTGTTAGGCATTTGGAGATGGAATGTCAGAATAGAATGCCACAATTTATGCAAGTATATATGCAAGCTAGACACTTTCCAGGTGATGTTGAGGTAATGTAATATAGCCGTCCGGTGGTGTCCACTGCGAACTGGACCTCGGGGTTGAGGTCCGGTGGTGCCCACTGCGATCTGGTACTTTTGGAGGAGGAGGCGGGGAGAGGAGGCGGGCTAGGCGAGGACAGCTCTGATAAAACCTAACAACCCTCACCTGGCCGCCCCTCCGCCTCTGCCACCTTTGTATCTTGTAGCAGATCGTAGCCATTGGGCTCAGACTCTTCTGGCCCACATCAACGGTGAAAGCAAGCAACTTTCTTAAGAAGGGACTCGGTGTAACCCCGTGGCTTCCAAGTTAGCAGCCGGAGAGAGCTTCAGACACGCTTGCGTGAAACATGATCTACTCCGAAGCTTTGGAAGCAGCCTTACAAAGTCTCGAAATTTCAAGCAGAAGAGGCTGGACTTGGTGAGATGCTGGATCGAGATCTGTGCTTTTCAGCTTTTGGCTGGAGCTGCTGAGAACGTGGCAATGTCAAACGGGGAACTGCAAGTCCCAACTGGCGCGGTTGAGTCTATTGCATACCTGGAAGTGGCGCAGTTGTTCTCTTATGGCAGCTGCCCAACAGCGGCTTGAAGGCACCTGGGTCTTCTCTCGCCGTGGCAATGCTAATTTGCACAGATCCAAAGTGGTTCGTGTGAAAAAAGGATTTTAGTTGAGGAGAGGTCCATTGTCTGGTGAAGGGAGGCAGCCAGCTTCCGTGAACATGTAACAAACGCATGTTCCAAAACAACGCTTGGAACCCTTTGTGTTCCCTCAACCAACTTAGTTCTTTTCTTCAGAGTTAGCTACAACCCCTACCCCCCACTATTTGTTCAATTCAGCACGTGGCAAGAAGAAAGCGGCGCCAAGAAAAGATGAGTTCCAAAGAGGCGCACAAACACCGTGCAGACTGAACATGTTGCGAGCGCGCGCGTACTTGGGCGATCGTGAACGCGTCTCCCAGCGTCATGCCCTGAAGAGACCTAACATCCAGACAAACTTGACTTTAACGATAGAACCTGCTCACTTGTGCGTGACTGTTTGCCCCCTAGCACTTGCAGCCTGCCGTTCCTATTGGTGTGGAAAGGCTCCCAATGTGTGATGCCACTTGCCTGTCTCACATGTTCATTTGGTTCAGATTGCTTTGCCAAAGTAGTGCGAATTGAAAAGGGGCCTGACATGCATTAAGGGGTGTTCTTTAAAACAAACGGTTGAAATTTCATCGCCACGGGACACAGATCCAACCAAAGGCCAATTTGACAGACTCCTCATCACAAACGGTTTGTGCAGATTCATGACATGTGGACATTGTTGGCCGAGGCCAAGGTTCTGCGCCCACAGCAGCAGGTGCTTGAAGGCTGCAGAGCCAAGGAATTGGTCCGTGGAAAAGGCTGCAAGCCTTGTCTGGTTGCAGGGGACATATTTGCAAGGGTTCTGCTTGCAGGGTGCCAGGAAGGGCACTGACACTACTGACAACATGGAACTTGCTGGCGACTCATCAGCTTGTCATTGGCAAGAGAACGTAAACATATGTTGAACTTATCTGAACTTAAGCAACTTTGAGGAGCGACGTTGGCCCTCTTTAGCTGTTAGTTGAGACTTCATTCCCACTTGCTGTCGGACTTGCCAAAAGTGGTGGCCCGCAAGGCTGAGATGAGTTTGTGAATGTGTCGAGCTGGGCCCTCAAGGTTGTCTTGATTTGTTTTTTTGGTAATCGCATGAACCATGTTTTGAGTCTTCTTTGCATCTCACCCGGTTGAAGGGTTCAGTTCCGTGGCAAAGAACAAGGAGCAACCGAGGTCATACTGTCAGTCACACATACTACAGTAAATATGATGATGATGATGATGATGATGATGATGATGATGATGATGATGATAATTGATAATGCTATTCAGTCCACGCCAAGGCTTAGGTGCTCCAGGCACCCACCAACCAGCGCCTCCTCTGGAAGAATCTAAGCAGTCTATATAAACAGTATGTTCACAGGGAACACAGCAAATTCCGTTCTGTGACTTGAAGTGTTGCAGCTACTTTGCCAGGTCTCCAGTTCCCTCAGTTCACAGTGCACGGTCCAAGTGGAAAACTTAACCAGTAGCACTGATTACTTGTAGTAAGCACCTCGAAGGAGACGCGCACACACTGATGGTGAATGCCTCCGGGCCTTGGAAGGTCGCCTGTTAGAGCGACTTCCGAGGTGCAAGGTTCCGGGGTACCTTTACCATGAGTCTGGCAGACCCCCTTTCTTTTCAACATGGCTGTTCTTTCCAAGACACCTGGATTTCCCAACTGCCTGTCCACATCGTCCGAATACGCGTGGATCTCTCAGGTTTCTCTGGGGCGAAAGCTGTATATAGCCTCCATCTAAACTCCCAACGATGGTATGCAGTTGGTTCGCCTTTGGTGACTGCTACATCTTGGACCTGCAACCAGTTTGCTTCCCTCGGCGATGATTGCTTGAGGTTGCGTACCTCAAACCGTCAATGAATACCAATGAATCTAATGCAAATAATGTTGTAGTTCATCCTTTTGGGAAAACAAAACGACAACAGGCAGCAGGGACAACAGTCCGGAGGATTTCCCAAGAGTCTCAGTTGCCCAAACAAACTGACGGTTTGTCTCATCCTCGTTATGTGCAGCCATTGTGCTCTGAGCCTTATTGGATGTGCCATCATATTTGCCTGAACCCTGAAGGACTCAAATGCAACACAACACTGGATCCCCTATAAGTCATTGGAACACAGCTGTGAAATCCGATTGCCAATTTGTGCCACTTTTGCCATGGCGCATCAGCCAGGTGATGAATTTCTCGAGATTCACATGGTTGGTTCATCCTCGCCTAGCTTAAACATGTTTTGCACCAAGCCAAAGTGAATGTCTTTCTGCACCACTTCTTTCGCTGTTGTTGTTTGTTTGGCTTTGTTTGTCGCTGTTTGTTTGGCCCTGAGAGCTGAGGACTGGATGGTGAAGAGTTCTCCGTGAGAGTGTCCGAGTCTACCACTGGTCGCCATCTTCGAGGGATGCTCCCCTCCAAGGCTGGTGCTGCTGTCTCGCTGCAGAAGGGGTCTGAAAAGCTCTCCCTGACCAAGACCTTGAAGGACATGTAGAGGAAAAGATGGTACTTGTAAAGTGGAACGTTTGAAGGAAGATAGTGGAACAAACATAGAATTTGTTGGACCGTTATTTTTTTAAAACACACCCGGCAGCGCTTTGTTTAATTACAGCTGTTTCCGCGGTATAGGGTTTCAGATGGCACCGTTTGGTAAAGTTGGGGGTTCGTCCTTCTCCAAGGGACTTCGGGGTGCGTTTAAAAGAAATCCGGCAGGGCCCTTTGTGAGTTTCTTTTTGGGGGCTTGCCTGGGAGGGAGGAGACGGACTCCTTTTCGACACGTTATGTGGCAGGCTTGTTTGGGCACCTCTGTGGGGTTTCTTTTGGACCTGTTTGGGTGCTTGCCTGCGAGGGGGGTGCCCTTGTAGGCAGGTGTTCAGACGGACTCCTTTTCGATACGTTTCGGGTTTCAGGCGGGTTTGCGAAAGGCCATGGCAGGGTTGCTTGGGTCCGATTGAAACCCTTGCGCCCCAAAACATGTCAATAAAGTACCCTGCCCTCAAATCTATATACCAGGTCCGTTTGAAACCCGAGGCAAACATGCCGAAACAGGACATTGAAAGACTTTTTCCCTTCGACATGCTAGCAGTGTGGTCCGCTTGGCTGCTACACACCCAAAGCAGATTTCTTCACTTGTCCTACTAAGTGCAAACGATCTATTATTACATAATTGATATCTTGAGAGCTGCGGTGGCTGGTGGCCCCGAGGAAGAAGGACTTGTTGGAGATGACGCAACGTTGACCTATGTTTACGTGCCTGTGAATCTGACTGAAGCTTGGAAATGCATTGAAGGCCAGCCAGTTGATGATGAGTTTGCTTTGGAGGGAGTCACAGGGATTAGAATCCAGAGGCGAAGTCAGTTGAGAGATTTTCCTCAAAGCTTGCAGAATCTGTCGTTCAGCTCTTCTTTCAACGAGAGCTTGCAATGGCAACAACCTTTTCCGAGAAACCTTCAGAGTCTGGTATTTGGTTATAGTTTCAACCAAAGCTTGGATGGAGTAGCTCTACCAATCAGCCTTGACAGTCTGGTCTTTGGTGCGGCCTTCAACCGGAGTCTCGTTGGAGTGACTTTGCCAAGCAACCTGAAGAATCTCAAATTCGGCGCTTTCTTCAACCAGAGTTTGGAAAGGGTGACTCTCCCCAGTGGTCTTGAGACTTTGGCATTTGGTTTAGAATTCAATCGGAGTTTACAGAACGTGGCTTTGCCAAGTAACCTCCAGAGCCTCACCTTTGGCCATGATTTCAACCAGCCGTTGGAAAGGATGACGTTCCCACGCTACCTCCGAAGTCTCACCTTTGGCCATAAATTCAACCAGAGTTTGGCTGGAGTGTCCTTGCCAAGTGGCCTTCAGTCGCTGACCTTTGGAGCGGAGTTCAACTGGAGTATCCAAAAGGTGACCTTGCCTAGCAGCCTGGAGGTTCTTTCTTTGGGAAACTGCACCAAGGACAGCCTTGCTTTTCTCCCAAGCACTCTCAAGGAGCTGACTCTGGGCAACGAGTTCAATGAGAGTTTGGATCGAGTGACTTTGCCGAGCTGCCTTCAGAGCCTTTCCTTTGGTGTGCAATTCAACCAGAGCTTGGAAGTAGTTCACTTGCCAGCTGGTCTCCAGAGCCTAAAGTTTGGCAAGGAATTCAACCATAGCTTGGAACGAGTCAGCTTGCCAGGCAGCTTGCTGGCTCTGACCTTTGGGGAATACTTCAACCAGAGCTTGAAGGGCGTATGTCTTCCAGGCAGCCTGCAAAGTCTCACTTTTGGAAAACGATTCAACCAAACTCTGGAAGAGGTGACTTGGCCAAGCAATTTGCAGCATTTGACTCTTGGTGCAGATTTCGAGCAAAGCTTGGAGGCTGTCACTTTGCCCGTTGGCCTGCAACACCTGAGTCTTCAGGATGGAATTTACAGATCTTTGGAGCAAGTCGCCCAGCAAAACAAGTTGCAGAGCTTGACTTTTGGCCATGATTTCAACCACAGTTTAGAGGGGGTGAAGTTTCCGAGCACGCTGCGGAATCTTACATTTGGATGGCAGTTCAACCAGAGTTTGGAAGGAGTAAGTCTGCCAAATGGCCTGCACAGTCTGACTTTTGGTTCTAAGTTCAATCAGAGTTTGGGAGTTGGCTTACCCAACTGCCTCCATACTCTGACGCTTGGGGCGCAGTTCAACCAAACTTTGGTAGGGGTTTGCTTGCCATGCAGTCTTCAGAGCCTTACATTTGGTGCACGTTTCAACCAACCTTTGAATGGAGTGGCGTTGCCCGACAGCCTGGAGCACTTGACCTTTGGCGATGAATTCAACCAGCGGTTGGAATCTGTAGTCTGGCCAAGTAACCTGCAGAGCTTAACTTTTGGAAAACATCTTTCTCGTTTGGCACTCGTGGATTTGCCGGGAAGCCTTCAGCACCTGACGTTGGGTAGAGCTCCTGACCTTTGGAACTCGACACTCCCCAGAGGCCTCCGAAGCCTGACCGTCGACGCAGCGTTGAGCATCACTTCGGTGTAAAAAGAGTCAACGACAAGTGGATGATCAACTCGATTGGAAAGCACATGATAGGTCCCTATGGCTCCTTTCAGACAAGCAACCATCGAGTTTGATGTGGAAGACATGAAAGATGCTGCAGGGAGACTGTGACTAAATATGACTAAATGCAGTACACGATGGCTTCGTTACACCGAATTCTGTGGTCGAGTTTTGTTTTGGTGCGGTGGGGCTGGTGAATATTCCTCACCAGGCAGGTTGGAAGCATTTCTGGCAAAAGTGTTTGATGGTTTTGTTCGCTAGATCTTCGTTTCCGCTTCGAAGTCTTGCTTGGAATGAAACTAATTAGTGATGCAACTAGCATGCCGCTTATGCCACAGGAGCTTTCACAAGGATTGCCTGTGTTTTGGACTTATATAGGATCCCAAAGTCTTTTCCAGTAGGCGTTTCTCAGATGCACCTGCCGGAGGGACCCCTGAGCTCAGGATAGGCGATTGTATCCGATTATCAGGACCTTTTCTTTTTTTTCTATTTTGGATTCCATTTTCGGAATTCCTTTCGGAAGTCCTTTGGCTTTTGGCAAACAGTTTTGAGCTCAGGCCACTTGCGCATGACCTCAACTCGAGCAGCTCACCTGGTGTCTCACAACACCACGAGGCCTAGGGCTCAGTCACTTCGGCCACGTTGTGAAGTTTGGCCTACTGGGAAGCCTGGCATTTAACGAGAGGAAGGAAAGGAGCGGCGAAGCGGCGCAGCTCATTCCATCAAAAACAGACGAATCTGTGTCTTCTCATGGAAGGAGCAAGGCCTTTTAGTGCGAAGCCTGGAGGAAGAGACTTCCGAGACTTCCTGTCGCTTGGGCAAGGCCTCCATTGTTCCAGATGACCTCCCAGCAGTTTCTGTAATGCTGTTGGTTTGCGTTGACCCCTCTGTCATGCAGCATTCCTCTTGAAGTCGGGTAAGACGAAATGAGGTGCACAGTGCCAGTGCCGCTGGAGCTGCAAGAATCGCTGTCCAGTCTTAGTTGTGGCCCAGAGGATGCTTCCCTATCCTTTTCAAGAGGATAACATACCTGCTTCTTGCAGAAGGTTGCCATGTTTCGAAATTCCACCAGCTGTAGGCAAGTGTATATATATGTATATATATACATACATGTATTATATATATATATGTATAATTATGCAAATAGTTAGATTTTGTGATCTTGTACCAATTGACCGAGTGAAGGGTTGGGTGCGCCATGGCTGTATGACTACTTAATTCTAGTTAGTTGTATGTACCAGGATGTTGTGAAATGGTGTTCCGCAGGTTAACAAGTTACTGAACTGGAATTCATCAAGCCTCTTCTTCTCTTCGTTGTTGGAACAATCCTCTTGGCAGAACCAGGATGTGAGGTCAATGTGTCTCGCAAATACGGTCCAACAAAAGCAACAAATGTGAAAAGCAGGACGGCTAACGTTCACTTCTTGTCTTTGTCATCCAAGTTGCTATAATTAAAGTCTTCGGCGGACGATCAATTGAACGTAGGATCAGCAGAAATATGTAGGAGCAAGATGGAACAAGTGTCAATTCAGACATCGAAGCTCTTCAGAGCAGTTTTGGGAGTGCATTTGACAAAATAGAGTCGGAGGAAGATCCCTCGATTCGAGAGGCCTTCCATTCAGCCCTACAGCTCTTGGCTCTTGAACGTGTTATACAATATTTGACAGCTTTTGTGTTGTTTGTGCACGAAAGGATGGAGTCACTAGCTCCGCACCCGCAGCAACAAAAGATGAATGCCAACTATCCCGGATAGTTACGTAGTTTCCAGAGGCTCCTCAGGCAACGAAAGCTTCCTGTTTGTTGAAAGTTTCAAACTTGCCATGTTGAGAACAGACCTTTTCCAAGTTTGGCTCTCATGTTGTAGAGCCTTGTTGCTCTCCTATTTAACACAGCTTCCGTTCATAGGTTGGCCTCTAATTTGCTGGGTTCACACGAATGCCCACGACCAAAGCCAATAAAGGCAATTTCGCGTTTGGCCTGTGATTGAGAGAGTGCCTGTCCTTGAGGTTATTTAACGTACACGCAGAATGCCTGACACAGGACACCTCAGAATCCAGTTTGGACAAAGGAAGCAAAACCCACACTATCATGAGTTCAGTAATGCATACGTGTTCGCATTTCTTCCAACTCATTGAGTAAACAGTAACACGAAAATCGAAGCCTCCAAGGAGGCAAGGCATTTGGTGGGCAATACCTGTCAGGTGCACCAAGGTTGATTGGATACACTCCATTCGTGCTTCTACTGGTTTCCATTTTCTGGAAGAAGAGTCATGGGGAACTGACATCGCTCGTGCTGATTTAAACTGCATATTTTGATGTTTGTGTTGTCTTGGGGACTGTGCTGTCAGTTGTGTGTGTGCAGTGTCGAGAGTCAAGCCACGAATTGGGGCAGTGGTGATCCTGACTGATTGTGTGCACGACTGGGAGCAAATGTGCAGGTTACAGTGAATGAGCTGTCTGACATTTACTGTAAGACCTTTTGTGTGTCCGGACGCCTAAATTGCATGTGCTATGCAAAAGTCAGCAGTCTGAAGAATCATAAGCCAAAGAGTTGGAGCAGCTGTGCTTCACTCTGCCCGTCGAACGAGGCGCGCAGCAATGTCGAACATGATGGGAACGCCGACAAGGGAAGGGTTCACAGCGCGCACCACACAAATCGTGCAGTGTGCCTCCATGCAACCGTGCAAACATTGACCTTTTTTGCTGGAGAACAGAGAACAGTTTCAGGTCCCTACCCAAAGCCATCATGTGGTTTGCGCCTATTTGTGTTTTGCCTTTGTGTGTAATTATGTTGGACGCTTGTTTGTTTGTCTGTTTGTTTGTAGTTGTGGGCAGGATTTTGTGGATTGCGTCAAGCAGCCCATGTTGAGCCTGGGATGGGACGAGGTCGCAACGGGTACATGTAGGGCTCAAAAACTGCAAAAGCATATGCCCCCACGGCAACTCACGAGTTGCGCAGCAGCTTGAGGGTCACGTTGTCGACCGACGAGTGTGATAGATAGGCCATCGAAGTTTTTGTTTAATCTTGGGAGTGTCAAAGCTGAGGCTGCAGTTTCTGGGACGACAAATTTACTGCCAGCCGCAACAAGGAGCTCTGAAAGGGCATGCGCGCACGAGCTAACTTTATAGGGTCCTCAACACATTTGATCCTACTGCCCGACTGAGTTTGGTCGGTCACTCTGCATTTTCCTCCACAGGTATGTAATCCGTACTTAAAGGGCAACCATTGCCCGACAACAATCTACAACAGTTCCATGGACAAGATTGGGATTCCTCGTTGTTTGGAGGTTTTTGTCCCATATGCAGTTGTAGTTGTAACTCGCACAACTTGGAGGTTGGCAGTTGTGTCAGGAGTCCATACTGTATTCACTTTTCTGGTCAGAAAAGACGGATGACATGAACCACAAACGGCCTGGTTCACCGGGCGTCACCACACCAAGGACGATAGATCAACTGCTGTTTGCTTCGTTTTTGCGATCTTACCGCACTTGTTTCTGCTCATAGCCGTGGTTTGTGTCCATCTTATGCTACACTCAGCACCTTGGAACAAGTCCAAACCAACGAAGTTGGGGGTCTGAAAGTCAATTGCATGGACCAAGAATCACGCCTTGCTCGGAAGCAGCCGTTTCAGCGGTCGAAACCCATCCGATACCGAACTTGTGCATCGTGAACGGCACATCCATGGACGATGAACTTCCCTCAGCAGAGGGCATGCTCCCGACGGGGTCTTCCTACGGGGCCTGCGAGAGGTCACAGACACACACGCACAAACACACACACACACACACTCATGGATATGCGTACGGACTTGATAGCGGTGCCACACGCC